GGAGAAGGAGAGACACACTGACCGACACTGGGGGGGTGGGGGAAAGGAGGAAAGAGACACCGACCAACACTTGGGAGGGGAAAGAGGAGCTAGACACTGACTGACATTGGGGGGTAGAAGTAGAGAGACACAGCTGGGAAGGAGGGGGGGCAAAGGAGGAGAAAGATACCAACCAACGTGGGGTGGGGGAGGAGAAGAGAGACACCGACGCTGAGGGGGAGGAGAGAGACATCGGCCGACGCTGGGGGGAATATAAGAGAGAGATACGGATGGACACTGGGGGGGCGGCAAGGGTTCACCAGTGGAAAAAGTTTAAGAAGGCCTGTCCTAGATGACTGGTGTCTTTCCTTTAGCTTTTCACCAAAAATCACTGATTTTGCTAGCACCTTTTTCTTCAACGTTTTTCTCTTCAATTAAGACTCTTTTTTTATATTGCTGCTTTGCTTATTTTGCCCAGACCCTGCTGGACTGGATGCTGCAGAGTTAGCTTGGAAGTGACTTTCAGGAACTGGGTTCAGCATACTGCTTTCCAAACTCTGCTCTGATAAAGTTAGCTGTGTAGTGCTTTCCAGAGCCACTGATATTGCCTCATTGCTTGCCCTATCTCTGAAAACTCACTTTGTGAATAGGTCAGGCAGGCCGAGCACTAGGAGCCCAGGAGTCATCCAACTCTCCAGTTTTCCATGAGAGTCCCATGTCTGATGGTAGCCTCTTTGGAGGCAGTTTCGTTTACCCAGGGATCCTCTAGCAGAAGCACTGGATGCTCTGGTGGCTCCATAGGATCAGTACATTCTGATCTATGTCTTTCCTCCATAAAACTTCTTTCTCATCTACTTCACAGGATCAAGATGGAGGTCATTCCTGTGATTCTCATTTTCTCCAGACTGGCCCAGGCGAATGTGGTACGCCGAGCTGTTAAGCCTCCTGATGCTGCGTGGACTCCTAAAGAGTGTCAGGATCTTTTGTCTCAAATACCGATTTACTAACATAATTCATGGTTTCTGGCTTTAACAACATGCCTGTTTAAGTCCAGGTTTTGAGAGACAAGGACAATCAGTGAATCTGTAATTCCTATGATGCTAAAAGGTAGGAAGGCTACTTACACTATATTGGCAAAAGTATTGGGACACCCCTCCAAATCATTGGATTCAGGTGTTCCAATCACCTCCATGGCCACAGGTGTATAAAATTAAGCACCTAGGCATGCAGCCTGCTTCTACATACATTTGTGAAAGAATGGGTCGCTCTCAGGAGCTCAGTGATTTAAAGTGTGGTACCGTGATAGGTTGCCACCTGTGCAATAAGTCCATCTGTGAAATGCCCTTGCTATTAAATATTCCACGGTCAACTGTTAGTGGTATTATAACAAAGTGGAAGCAACTGGGAACAACAGCAACTCAGCCACAAAGTGGTAGGCCACGTAAAATGACAGGGCGATGTCAGTGCATGCTGAAGTGCGCAGAAGTCGCCAACTGTCTGCAGAGTCAATAGCTAAAGACATGGATGAGTGAATTTGGGGTGGAGGAACTTGACTGGCCTGCACAGAGTCCTGACCTCAACCCGATGGAACACCTTTAGGATGAATTAGAGCGGAAACTTCGAGCCAGGCCTTCTCGTTCCAACATCAGTACCTGACCTCTCAAATGTGCTTCTGGAAGAATGGTCAAACATTCCCATAGACACACAAGAAAAGGATTTTATGATGAGTAGCAAAATCCTAATATCTTATTAAACCCTGCATTTTTTTTAACGCAGAGGCATATGGCTGCGTTCATATAGAAACAACTGTATTTCACAACAAAGCCCACTGACACTGACAGTCCTAAAGCAGATTGTACTGTATGTGGTGCACTATTAAGGGACTGAAGAGAAGCAGCACACAGCTTTTATTCTACACTTTTTCACTAGAAAGAATAGTGCTCACCTGACAAGGTTTCTGTAATAACGAACAAATATATAAACACAACTTACCACTCCTGCAGCTCATGCATGTGTAGAAAACGGTTGCGGTATTCTCTTGGCAGCTCAAACTGAGAGGGAATTGGAAACATGGACTCATAGAAATCCCTTAAGACTGCTTTAACCGTTGGTGCATCCTTGTGGTGGTGATTAATATTGTCGTTCAAGCAGATGAATTTCCTAGAACAGTGAAAGTTATTTCATAGCTGTATTTGCATTGCAACTAGAAAACACAATTTCTGGATAAGATAATGTAAATGTACAACATTTATTTATAGTATCTGGTTAGAGTGCATACAAACATATCTACAAAACAAGATGAAAACTAAAAGTAAAAATAAGCTCAAAAGGTTGACTAAGCATGGAGAGGTGGAAATGAAGCAAGTGTTAGGTGTGTTGGGGCATGCCAATGAATTTTAAAAAAGCAAAGACAATTGCATGTACCTTCGAAACCAGTCCAATGGGTGAAAGATTTATGCAAAGAACCCAGCTATGAAAATAATGTAAATACCATCTCTATGCCAATGACGCTCAAATATATCTCTCCACTCCACAACTCGCTCCTTCGTTGTTCTTGTACGTAGCTAATCTACTAACTGACATATCAGTCTGGATGTCACAACAATTCTTAAAACTCAATCTTTCAAAAACTGAGCTAATGATATTTCCTCCCCCCCGTGCACCTTCCCCCAACTTTTGCAGATTGATAACACAACTATCCCTCCCTCTCCCCATGCTGAGGTGCAAGGTGACATCCTTGACTCGGACCTCACCTTTGTGCCCCACATCCAATCACTATCCAAATCCCACTGCCCTAAGCTTCGTAACATCTCCAAAATACACCCCTTCCTCACCAATGAAACCACAAAGCTACTCATCCACTCACATGTAATCTCTGGTCTGGACTATTGCAACAATCCTTCTTATTGGCCTACCTCTATACAGGCTATCTCCCCTTCAGTCTATCATGAATGCTGCTGCTAGACTCATCCACCTAACCAACCGCTCAGTATCTGCAACTCCCTCTGCCAATCCCTCCACTGGCTTCCAATCACCCAAAGGATCAAATTAAAAATATTAACCAATTACAAAGTCATCCACAACTCGGCCTGTGGATAGATCTCCAACCTCATCTCAAAATATCACCCTGACCATCCTCTCTGCTCCTCCCAAGACCTCCTGCTCTCTCGTCAACCCTACCATGCTCGCCTCCAGGACTTCGCTAGAGTCTCTCCCATCCTTTGGAACCCCTTACCCCAACCTGTCCGTCTATCTATCTTCAAGCTACTCTGTTTTTAGACAATCCATGAAGACCTTTGTCTTCAGGTAAGCCTATTCCTCCTGAACCTAACCACTGAATGATCACTTTATCAAACAACTCATCCCCACACAGCTGCCATCTCTTGTATCACTTGCCCCTACCTTTTCGATTGCAAGCTCTCAAGGGCAGGGCCCTCCTTAGCATCTTTCAATTAAATCAATCTGCGCTTCCACCTCAATCTAAAAAAACACCCAATTTTTAGCGGCAAGTGCTATACTGATTAAATACACTCACAATATAAATTATCTAAAGTGCACTGCGCGCACTGTGAAAACAATGCATCACTATGAGCTTTGTTAAAAGTCCTCATTGTTCATAAGAGAAACCTTCAATTCGGTGCCAAAATGTCCTTCACATTTTTACACACTGCACTCACCAGACTGGAGAAAGACTATGAAACAAATGGTCAGTAGCATTCTTTTAAAAAAATCTCACGGTTGTCAGACAGCAATCTATATCCTCAGCATCCGGATTCTCATAACCGATACTCAGCTCAGTGTAAAATAACGCTCGACCTTCTCTTTCTCTTTCAGACTTTCGATTCTTTTTCCTTTCTCCTACCTAGCTTTGTTTGTGTGTCTGTTGCTTTTTCTTCTTCTCTTTTTCATCTGACATTGCTCACCTTCTTCTTTCTTACCATCTTGTCTTGCTTTGTATTATAACTGTAATGTCTTCCTTATATACTGTAAAGTGCTGTGCAAACTGTTGGCGCTACATAAATCCTGTATTATTATTTTAATGGCTGCTGTGTGCAACAGTGGTAACAGCTACATTATGAAATGGAGGAAGAATGGGTTTCCGAAGGGACAAGGGGCCCAAAAATGCTTTACATAACTTTTTGTGTGACTTTTTTTATTGTTTTAACAAAGATTTTACCCATTTAACACTTAATTAACCTTAATTAACTCTAATCAACTTATTTTACTTGTTTCCTCCTTAGCTATTAATTTTCTGGAAGATTATTTTATTTTTTGCAATTAATACTTATACTTTTTTTTATTCATTTAAATACAGGTCAAACTAGAAAAATGTAAATTATTTAATTTCACGTCTTTTGAATACATAGGGGATTAAATAATTTCATGTCTGAAATGCTATACTGCCTCTTTACCACAAGGGACATACAGTTAAAGGAGTTTAGATTATTAATCATCTAAAAACCAATGTCAGTACGATCACTAAGGGCCCAGTCACACCATCAAGCAGTGTGCTGCAATGCATGCATATTCCTGCGTTGAGGTGTGTTGTGTTATGTAGCCCATTATTTTGATTGGGCTGTCAAAACACCTAATGGCACGAAAAAAATAGATTCTGCCTGGTGTATTCCAGTGCAATACAATGCACAGAGCATATGCATCTGTGTGTTGGGGTGTGCTATAAAGCAGGTGTGTTACTGTGCCTTGCAGCTATATGCTTTATGGTGTGAATGAGCCCTAAAAGAAAAATAATTTGGAAGGGAAAATGGATTTATGGCGGATTTTACCTGGGGTTTTTCCTGATGTCATCTAACTGGCCAACTACATGAGAGACATTAGTACGAATCATCTTGAATGCTATGTCTTCTTCTCCCATAATTTCAAATCTTGAGGGAAAGGTTAAAAGTTTAATTTGCAATGCAGCCATGGCAAAATCAAACATAACTGAACAAATTAATGGTGCATGAGTAGTAGGACTAACCTTACCTGTATTTATTCTTATCCTTGTAAGCTTTCCGTATCAAATCAGTTACAGGTTTACAATTAATTAGCAGCTGCTTGGTCACAGGTGGCTGTAATAACATATAACAAACTGCAGCTAACAGTAATGCAGATGGACAAACATACATACACTCATTATAGTAATGGTCAGGATTATATTATATACAATAAGCTTTAACACCGTCCATAGGGCAGGGATGTGCAACAATCAATAGCATCTGATTAGTTGCTATGGGTTATCTACACAACACCAGACCACCATGAAGGTAAAAAAAAAAATACATACATGCACACATATATATATATATAGTCCCAGAGGCACCCACCACACTCTATTTGTAAGATAGTGGAGATAAGTCAAAGCATCAGCATTTTATTGGCAACGTTTCGATTGAGCGCAGTCCATATATAGTGTGTGTGCGTGTGTGTGCGCAGTCCATATATAGTGTGTGTGTGTTTTGTTTATATATATACATATATAAAAATTATCATTTTTATTTTTTTAATAGATGATTTGGATGACATTTGCATTTACTGTGCGAGAGTAAAAAGTGCATGTAAGCAAAAAAAAACATGTAATTCGAAATTGTAGTGATAACAAACCTGTGAAAAAGTTGCTACCATGCTAATTTGTGTCCTCGTCATCTGGGGGTATGCAAAATATGTAAACGTTGAAAAAAAATTACAGAAAATGCATCTTTCTATTCAATTATCTATAATGAAAACCCTATCTATCCCTAAAAATACAATTTATGATACATTAGTGTAGCCTTCATGTGCCACGGGGTATAAGACGCAGAAATCTCTGAAGCAAACCAGAAAAAATACTTTTGGAGATTTAAGGCTCAGGGTCTCAAAAAAAAACACAATAATTTGGTAAAAATAAGTAGACGTTACCATATTTGGATCATAATAGGATTCCTGAGTTGCCGGGATAAAAACAGTCTCAGTATTATTAAATTGTACAGTTTTGGAGCAGTTGATAAGCATATGTTCCAATCCAGTGAGATCCTAAGAGGAAAAAATAATGCCCAATATTTTCAGTACAGCAGTTTGATAATGCAAATGCACACATGTATTTAGTTCATTAAATGCTATAGTTTCCTTCTAGATCAATTGACCTAAAATGCTTTAACTTATTTTGTAAGAAGGATGTCAGAGCCATTTCCAATAAATATGTAAAATGCCCCTTATCTTCAGGTCATTTAGATGCTTAACGTTTTCATTTTTAAGTTTCTTTGCTGTACTGTGTTGACTGTCATTTATGGAACCACTGCAAACAATTATAATTGCATGTATAGAAAATATGTCCCCATCCACAAGCATCCCCTTTATTAATCTCAAGTATAAGTGATGTAAAACCGCTGGTGAAGTAATGCATGCTCACGGTCTTCCAGCCCTAAACAAGATTAACATGGGAGGGTGGGGAAGTTTTTAATCTTTTTTTTTTAATCTAGTGCCAATTCTGTGATCCAATAAGACATCAGCAGTTTAAAAGGGAACTATGGGGTAAGTGTTTTCCCCATAGTTCTCTTTAGGGTCACGGGAGGACATATACTAATCTCCTCCCATGACCCAAATCTCAGTATATCGCAAATAGCCCGCAATATACTGAGAGCACCGCAGCCGGGACGGTTCCCGACAATACTGTTGAGATTCACCCAGCTGCGTGATTGACAGCTGGCTCTGCCCATCTAGGAGGCAGAGCCAGCTGTACCTGCACCCTCCCGCGTCCGTTCCGCCAGTCAGCGCTGGAGGATCGTAGAGGGGAGGGGGAATCCCTGCGGGGAGCGGTGGCCTGGGCAGTATGCATTATCCATCTTCAATATATTTTCTCCTTTGAAGTGGCCATACATTACATGCCAACTGTTCACGTAATAGAATCCTCCTCCTCAAGTATTATAAACATCTGGGCTGCTGACCTGCTTTTGAACAAGCCAGCTGCCTGGCTGTGTTGCACTTAAATACTTTAGGGGTGACTCAATTAGCTGTTTGCGAGTCATTTCTGGTGGTACGACAAATTCAAGTAGATCTTATTTGTGAAACTTTAACCATCTTTTGCCATTATTGTGACAGATTTATGTAACAGAAATACCACCATATTAATTATACAGAAAGTGGAGGTAAAAAAGATCTCTTCTATTTTGGAGTGAATTAAGTGACAATTCTGTCAAATTTGCGGAAGATTCCTATGCAACCTTACTAACACATTCATGAATCTGTTTAATTTCTGTGCGACAGATTTCTAATGAGTATCTACAACATTATGCATTTCACAATTTGAGCTGGAACAAGCATGAGGCAAGTGAAAACACTTTTCTTGTTCAAGCACATCAAATCAAAATATACTGAAGGCAGTGGGTCAGCCTGACAGCCAGACCATTAGCATTTTCATGTCGTCGTCATTAATGGCAGCACATACATTATGCTCACCACTTGTTTTGTTCATGTGGTTAGGTAAATTAAAGGAAGCATATGAAGCATTCTTCAGATGTTACCTCTTATAACCCAGGAATAGCCTTCTGATTTTATACATCATGTCTTAAGCACCGCTCCACAGAAGCTTGACATTTGTTTATTGTAAGCGTAGTGTTTACATTCGGTTTTGAAATCTATACTTGTAAAGGGATTTTCTTTTTGTAGAATATTTCTTTATTATTTTCCAATATATACGCAGTGTAAACATACAGACATTATTATTAAGAGACCACCATTTAATATGCCACTAATATTAAAAGCATTCTTCCCTTTAAGGGTTTCAGCTACAATGAAGCCAAAGAAGAAAGAAACATAAGAGAAAAAAACAAAACCTAAGACCCTCCCAAACCCCCCCCCCCCAAAAAACAAACAGTTTGGGGGATTTTCTACTTTCAACAAGCATGTGAGAAACTCTTCTATACCATTATGTGGACTGTTCTCACCATTGACATTCAGCTGTCTGTAGCATTTGCAAATGGTCCTCATGTTACAAGGTGGAAAACCCTTTAATGATTAAATTGTAAGCCACACTTTATACAGGATATCACATTTTTATACGTCTATCTTTTATACCATAAAATGTAGGGTGGGTTAATCTATGAAATCAGCTCATGAAAATCATCATGTGGATACTTTTACAGCACTATCTTTAATGTTATACCTGTAAACTCAGTGGTAACTGATTTATTCTTGTCGCCATCGTCCGAATCTCCCTGTCAGACAGCACGCCTGTGCCATCCGTGTCAACTTCATAGAATATCTGGGAGATATTTAATGGCTGGATAGCACTCATCAGATAGTAGAAAAAGGAAAAGGCAAACTGCATATCTTCAAAGTGACGCACTTTATGGGCAGATGTCTTGTCAAATTCTGCTGGAAACCTGTACAGATTATAGTATCACAACCCATGACACAACAAAGGGATGCATTCAGCATACCTAAATAACGCTAATGCCTTTAAAGATCCTGTTTAAAGGTGACTGCTAATTAAAAATAGCTAATACACTGTGATGTAGCACAACACATGTACAGTAATGACAATTGATAAAGGAAGGTTAGCTATCTACAGCATGAACGAACACCCCCCCCAACCCCCCCCCCCCCCCCCAAAAAAAAACAAACAGTTTGGGGGATTTTCTACTTTCAACAAGCATGTGAGAAACTCTTCTATACCATTATGTGGACTGTTCTCACCATTGACATTCAGCTGTCTGTAGCATTTGCAAATGGTCCTCATGTTACAAGGTGGAAAACCCTTTAATGATTAAATTGTAAGCCACACTTTATACAGGATATCACATTTTTATACGTCTATCTTTTATACCATAAAATGTAGGGTGGGTTAATCTATGAAATCAGCTCATGAAAATCATCATGTGGATACTTTTACAGCACTATCTTTAATGTTATACCTGTAAACTCAGTGGTAACTGATTTATTCTTGTCGCCATCGTCCGAATCTCCCTGTCAGACAGCACGCCTGTGCCATCCGTGTCAACTTCATAGAATATCTGGGAGATATTTAATGGCTGGATAGCACTCATCAGATAGTAGAAAAAGGAAAAGGCAAACTGCATATCTTCAAAGTGACGCACTTTATGGGCAGATGTCTTGTCAAATTCTGCTGGAAACCTGTACAGATTATAGTATCACAACCCATGACACAACAAAGGGATGCATTCAGCATACCTAAATAACGCTAATGCCTTTAAAGATCCTGTTTAAAGGTGACTGCTAATTAAAAATAGCTAATACACTGTGATGTAGCACAACACATGTACAGTAATGACAATTGATAAAGGAAGGTTAGCTATCTACAGCATGTAGTTGTTTGTTTATGCTCATGGCCATTTACATAACATTTATGCCAAGTTAATTATGCCAAGGTAATTATTCTATTTAAGACAATGACCAATAGATAACTCTTTTGCTAGTATTAAATTATAGGAGATCATTTTTAGAGTAGGATGCAGACCTAAGAGATTTTTCTGTAAACATGTTAAATCATCTAGCAAACCGCAAATGATGCTATCCAGAAAACACTGCCATCATGGTATCATCATTAGAAAGCCCTCTTATGTCATCCTAATTTAAGTTGCATAACATTTTCTTATGATCCTTAGCAGCCAAATTGTGTAGTGTTTTATTTGGGGTTGCACCCCAAATGAAGTACTGGGACTTGATCAAGAATGGTAATTTGTTTCTGAAAAATTAATGACATACTGTATGTACCATGGTATATGTCAACCTTAACGCTTTTAGTGTCCCTGGTGTGTTTATGACTCTCTACCTTAGATAACAGGTTCAGAAACAGGGGGGCCCAGATACCAGGCTACCAATAATTCTAGGATTTTGTAAAACTAGGGTAAAAAACAAAGGAAATTGGACAGGTAGGCTAGTTGTTTTGTATGAATTCGGTGCTAACAATGTTTGACTGGAGAATAACAAATTTCCAGTGTTAAAACCTGAGGAAGCAAGACCCAGCTGGATCTTACATGCCCCAAGGGAAGAAGATTTCACAAGGCACAGGAACTAGAGCCACAACCTTTAAGTTAAGAAGACCACAAGCAGACAAGAGAAGGTCGGTTAATCTGTGCAGTGGCACAGGGAGGAAAAGGGTGAGCAGCAGAGAAAACCCAAGGCCAAGGATTAACTCAAGAATCGAAAAGGGCACTTTCTGCACCAAAATGCCAAATGATAAAGTATCCAAAGACCTGCAAGGATTAACAACCAAACCTCCACTTGAAAAGTGAGGGTGCACTTCTATGCGAGAGGCAGCTCAGAGGACTTAGCAGGCTTATTGCTTCCAGTCTTGCAGGCTGCCCAAGAATCAAACTTAGATGGTCCTGATGTATTTTTTCTAGAAGTAGACAGTGGAGAAACGTGGGACTTCCTTGATCTTTCCTTGGACTTCTAAAGGTGCCTATACACCTGCCGATTATCGTATGATAATCGCGGGTGATCCCGCGACCGCACGATAATCGGCAGATGTATAGGCAGCGTGCGACCTCTTCTACTGTAAGGTCGCATGACATTCGTCTTCGGGAGACGAATGCCGTACGGGCCTGTGTGCACACTGCCCGCTCAGCACTGCAATCATCGGAAGCCCTCTCCTCAGCGGGGAGGGCTTGTGATGATCGCAAGTACGATCTGCCTGTCCAAGATGGGCAGAGCGTACGAAATGTTAATTACCTTACAACCATCGCACAACGAAAGTCGTGCAATGGTTGTAAGGTGTATGGCCAGCTTTACACTGACACAGGTGTACACTCTGGCCTCCCATGCGATCCCTGATGATAACCTCAAGAAAAGGTCCAAACAGACAGCATCTCTTCAAGACCTAGCAAATTAAGTGCTCCACGGATATATCATCTACCTCCCAGCAACTTAACCAGAGTACTTTGTGCATCTGTATAGACAACAAACCCATACAGGGACACAAGTTTAGCTGCTACATTGCCATCACAACTCAAACATAGGGCTCCAGACAACTGCTCTACATTCTCTAGATGGAAGGAGTCTACCATAGATTTGGAGAGATCTCTTTTGAGTGATTTAACCCATTTTGACACAGTTTGACAGATTAATGTCACAGCCATGATAGGGCAAAGTGCTTGTCATGGAAACTAGATGTTTTGAAAGGAATCAAACTGCAGCGATGTCAGCAGCTGTGGACTATCTAACAGAGTCTGGAAAGTGCCTGAACCCAGTAGCCAAACCTCACTTTCAGGCTGGTCCCACAACATTCAGTCCAGCGGGTTCCAGTACTCCAAAGCTAGTCTGAGAAAAGCTAATCCAGATAGCTGTCATATAGAGACCAGATCACACCGCAAAGTAGCAAGGAATCTTGACTGAAAAACTTGAAGAATTAAATAAAAACTAGCAAAAGAAAGCTTAGACTATTTTCAGCAGAGCTGAAGAAAAGAAGTCCATTCTTCTAGGACACTAGGAAAAAACTAAGGCACGTTGAAAGAAGTGGGATTATCCAGAGCTGGCCTACACATTTTTATTCCTGTCCAATCCTCCTGCAGGCAGCAGTATTGCCTGACAGTATATGATTTCTTATGTCCTTTAAATAAACTAGAAAGAAAATCCAATAGCAGAAATATAAAAAATGCTGTGGTACATAGGGTTTTACAGGTGTGAGAGCTGAAGTGGTTAAAAGCACCTTGTAACAGGGTTTACATAACTGCCCATATTCCTAGCTAATTTGTGGTATATTGCACTTTTGGGTAAACCTAAACATTATTCTTAAACACATGCATCTAATATATACCCAACATTCATTTACTTCACATTATTCTGTGATCAGAGTGATGTATGGTGAAGATAATTTTTGCAGTACTTAGAATGCTGGCTGCAACTTCAAAAGAAAAGAAAAAGGGTGAAGGGAGGGGAGGAGGCACTTCATCTGAGTCAGCCACCTTGTAACAAGTATACTTACAAATCCTGAAGCTCTTGCATAACGATACGGTCAATCATGTGTGGCATGTGAGCAGGAACTTTCCGAGATGTGAAGCCAAATTTACCATTGAGTAGTTTATTCACATAACGTAGGGAATCAGCAAATGTATCTTGAAGTTTCCTGCCAGTTTTCTTACCATTGGTGATATAAGAAACTTCACTAAGTAGAGCATCTCTCTCCTGCAAGACAGAATGATTAATAGATGGGGTTTATGTGGTCGCCACAACAGAATATTTATCACAAGAGCACTCAGCTTACCCAACAGGGCCAACTAGGTGAAGACAGCAGTGACAGGACCACAGTAAATGTCATCAAAGGATCAATCAGATGTGCATGAACTTTTATTACTTTGTCATATACACGAGCTCTAGCTGCATATTAATTTCAGCAGTCATTAAAATATTGCAGAGAAACGATAGACTAAATAAGAAAACTACCCATAGCACATATATTTTCACTTTTGGCTGCATGTAAAGCATATTAAAACCAACATTGCTTAATAGGATACATTATATATATATATATATATATATAATTTGCTATGATGTGGGGAATATTCACTTCTGTACTCAAGAGCTTTGTAGCTGCAATGTGAGATCTAAGGCTCTACTGCCTCTCACTACTAGTTTCAAGAGATTTAAATAGAGATTTGGTAAAGTCACTACTGTTTGGCTCATTGTTCTTCTTGCTGAAGGCTCTGACATGAAAGGAATGACCTACCGCTACAAAGATGGCCATATCAAAATTCATACCTAATCATGAACGTACCACCAAAAATGTAGACTTACATCTAAGAGGTCCTTAAAATATTTTCTTCTTTCCCAAGGTAAGAATCCTTCATAAAGCGGCTGATAGCTATGGAGTTTTCTTCCTTGAACAATGTGGTCTCCCTTAGATATTTCCAATTCTTTGTTCATTACATTTCTGAGCTTAACCTGGGATTCCATTCTCGAGGCAGATTTCCCATTTTCACGCCCTAGTTCTCTTGATATAAAGGTAGTTTTCTTAGAATCAGCCTTCTTTTCAGAGACCATATGTTTGGATATGTGTGCTAAATTGATTCCCAATTTAGTCTCATTTAAAACTTGCTCTGTTTGTGGCTTGACACTGCTAAATGGTTTAAGCAAAGCCATTTTTGTAATGTTGTACCCTTTCGATGTGATGTCACCCCTGCTAAGCTTCAGGTCGAGATTACGTAGGGCCAGCTGTATACTGTTTGGAAGAGTGGAAATATTCACATATGGTATAAGGATTTCTGCATCTTGCTTTTCAGCTGGCCTCTGCTTCTTAGGTTTTGGGAACCGGTCTTCTTCAGGAATGTCCTCAAACAGTATTTCTGCATCTGGGGTAGGTGTGGTGCTTACTATATCCTTCTTCCCTTGGGAAGATGCCGTAATATTGCGTTTTTGCTCTTCGTTTGTGTCGACGTCTATGAAAATCTGCATTTTAAACTCTTTGTCATTCTGATCATGAAAAGTGAGGTTAAAATGAATTACAGTGGCATTCATTCCAGGATACATGATCAAATGAACAGTTTTCCACTTATTAGCAATAGAGGCATGGCGAATTATTGGGCTTTCACTATAGCTGCCCTCCACTGATTTCTTAGCTATGTCAGCAAAACTGAAGTAGGGCAAACGTTCACCTTTAGGAACAACATAATGGGTCTGGTTTAGAAGCAAGTCTATCTTGTATAACTCTCCAAAGTGATCTGCAAATAAAATGGACATGTTTACTTTACCTGTATTAGGAATAAAGATTTTGTAGAAATCAAATGATTAAAGGATACTTTAAGTCATGGTAATCATGGCAAAGAGGCAAGTGTATATAAAAATCAAGCAACACCACACCAGGAGCCCTGAATCCCAATGCACTCTGGAATGCAAATTTCCACCAGCTTTCCTGATTGAAACTCTAGACCCACCCACTCTTGCGGTTCTCTAATGTTCCATCACTGTGATGAGTGGACTCATGGCCCAAAAGTGAAATATAAGCCAGGCTTTCACCCAGAAAAAAAAGAATAAAAATTTGCCTACCAGAGCACTCCCATGCTCAACAGGAAATAAGTCAGAGATGAAATTTCTCCACCATTCCTGTTTTTGTCTTGGAAATAGAAAGTGAGATGAAATCCTCCACCCCCCCCAGTTAGGGCAAGTACTGTCAGAGGTGGGATAACCCCTATTGGGGTCATATGAAAGGTTACAAACCTTTCTTAGGTTTTTAGTGCTATTAAGATCACCCTGTCATCCATGACACAGTAGAAAACATAAGATATATTTTGAATGCATGCTTTTTCTCTTTAATCTTGTAAACAATTTTTCCCCAGGCATATGTCACATGACTTCTGATAAGGAACTGTATAAAGGAACTAACATTCAGGTACAGGAAGCCAATTAGTGGCTCTACCAAAGCAGTTATTCTCCCTTTAGCAGATACCATATGACCAATGCCACGCCAATGATGTGCTAGAAGAGAGACACATTTGCAATCCTTTTTAAGCATTTTTTTTTTAAATTATGCTATGTGACTGGGAACATGTAACAAATATAAAATAAGTGTTATCCCAATCTGGCTGCAAAAATGGACATACACTTTGGGGTTTCATTTTTAAATTTAGGACCAATCAGCTGTTTCAGTGCAGATCGGTTCTCCTGCACATACGATTTGCGATGCCGATCTGCCCTGGAACAGCTGAGAAAGCGTAGGAATTCTTTCCCTTTTGCCAGTCACATATTCCCCCGCCGAAAAACTGGGTGGGATTACGTTAAAATGTGTGACCACGTCACCGGTCACACATTCTAACGGAGTCACAAACTTTGATAGAACACCAGCCGGATGCCATTTGCACAGCACTAGCATCCCTAGATAGCGCTGACAAGTATAGGAATATTCTATACTTGTCCACGATATCTAGGGTTACTAGTAATGTGCAAACAGCCTGGTGGAACTATTATTAATGAACCCCTTTACGTTTGCTGTTACAGTGTCAAATGTTGATAAGAAGACCGTAGTGTTTTTATGCTGAGAGCTCAAGATGTGCACTAGTGTGCATGATAGGGTTAAGCATTTGCCATTTTTTTGTTTTTTTATATACTCCTGCTGCTAAGATGAATTTATAGTTTATCAGATTTCTTATGTTGTGCACAGCCTGATTTCTATATGTAATCAATTACTGCAAAAATATATCCCCTTAGGCATAACTGTCACAAACCACTTACAGAATAGCCTAGAGATACATTTGAACACACATAAGCGTATGTATTAAAGCACTACAGAAAGTAGTAATGATGTACAAAGTGCATTAACCCATAGCAACCAAACAAGAATGTTCATTACCTGATCTTGCGAGGACTGAAATCTGATCAGTTGCTATGGGTCACTGAACTTTTTACTACCTTACTGAATGTCCCCGTATGTGATGTAACTCATACTATATAGTTACATAGTATTTGAGGTTGAATAAAGACATTAGTCCATCAAGTCCAACCTATTAGGATCTCTTTCTAGGAGTACCTATACCCCTGTATATTACCTGTACCCCTGTATATGACGGTCCCTTAAGAAATCGCCCAAAAGCTTCTTGAACAATTCCACATTATTTGCTGAAATCACCGCCTGTGGCAGTGAGTTCCAGACCCTGACCGCTCTAACTGTAAAGAACCCCCTTCGCCCTTTGTGCTGGAATTTTTTTTCCACCAATTTTAGGTGGTGGCCTCTAGTTTTTGTAATGGAGTTAATTTTAAACAGTTTATCGCTAATGTTGCTGTCACCATTGAACATTTTGTACATGGAGATCATATCCCCCTTAATCTCCTCACCTCCAATGTGAACATGTTTAAATTTAGTAGCCTCGTCTCGTAGCTCTGGTCCTCCATACCCCTAATTAGTTTGGTTGCCCTTCGCTGGACTTTTTCCAACTCAAGGACATCTTTTCTTAGTACTGGTGACCAGAACTGGACCGCGTACTCCAGATGAGGTCGAACCAATGATCTATAAAAGTGGCAAAATTATAGACTTGTCCCTGCAATGCATCCCCTTTTTAATACGACGTACCCTTTGTCTTATATTTTATAAATGCCGCTCTCTTGTCCTTGACTATGGTAAGGTCAATATTTTCTAGGAATTCCTGAAACTGCAAAAACACTTTATTCTATTTCACCTTGTCCACAATCGCCAGCATCAAATCCACAGTTAAGCACATTGCAGGCTTGGTCGCAGAATTTGTCAGCAAGCCAGGAATTAGCACAGCCTTGGTTACAATAAGAAACGCTGCTTATTCCCAATCCAGGCTGCCAGCCTTGTCCATTGAGAAGACCTCCTCCAGCAAGGGCTGGTGCAAAACGACCAGCTGCTGTGTTACCTATAGGAGTGAAAAGAAAATTAATTCTCTAACAAATCATAACATGTCTACATAAAAAGCTACAATAATCTGTAGATCACTTATTGTCCAGAAAGCCATGACAAGCTGGGATACATAATTGCTCACTCGCATCCATCATCAAAACACAACGTTTATCTGTTATGTACTATTGGCAGACAGTTTTCTGTGAAATCATTCCTATCTTTCATGTTTAAAAGCTTCACAGAAAAAAAACAAAAACATTTTGAATACACTTTTCTGAGATCAATTTTATCTCAGTCCGCAACAGTATTTCTAAAGGAGGAAACAATTTTTTTTTTAAACTAACTTCATTCTGTAATCTATGGAGGAGCTTTATCAAAGTAGGGGCTGTGTGAGTCTTACCAAGGCAATCGCCACCATCCCAGTCACATGCAGAGTTATTGCAGGCTTTGTCACAATAACCATCTTTAATCCAAGATCCTGGGCATCCCTCTGCACAGTTAGGAACAGGCCAAGTCAAATAAACCTTTGAGTAAAAACACAAAATGTATTACTGAGCATGTGTTCAGTTTACAAATCAGCTTTTGTTTTTCTTCAGGGATCTTAGAAATTGACGTAAAAAGTACAGTTCCAAAAATGTTATTCGTAACTATTAAAAATTCATAACTATTAAAAATTGCAAAGATATCGGGTACAGTTCCTCCCAGACAAATTTAGAACTGGAGCAATATAAGAAGTCTAAAACTTGCCGCACACAATCAGATTGTACGTTTGATCAGCAATATTTACCAACTACACATACAACTATATAAACACAAGAACCTTTCTTACAGAATATAAAATTCATGGATATTACTTTTAAGTGGAAGGTCCTTGAACTACACAGATGGTGGTAAATCCTAAAGTTTATTTCTACTTTTGTAGTAAAATTTAAGAAAGACCCACTAAATGTTGGCTATGTGTTCCCATTCACACAGCTGTTTCTTTGGCAAACTAGATGTTTCTTGGGAGCAGGCTTTTATGGGGACTGCAAGCTATTCTAAACAATTTGTGAGCGAGTGTGTCCCCAAGGGAAAAGGGGGACAGACTGCGTTTCCTCACATTAACATACAAAGCAAGAAGCAAAGCTTCTCAATCTTTAACCCTGTTAGGAAAGACAATTTTCAAATTTAGTTTACAACCAATAAGTTCTGCCAGCATGTTTCAGACAGGGTTAATCATGGTAAACATTACCTCCCCACCATCTCATGCCGCCTCCTTAAAATACAGAGAACGGGAAACTTACATTTTGGATGTTCCAAGAAAGAGCAAGTAACATAAGATGTAACTTAAACAATGTAATTTTATTTTTAAAAATTTGTACTATATGAATGGGAACATGTAATAAACATAAAATAGGTGTTATTTCAATCTGCTATAAAAGTGGAAATACACTTTAGGTAGATATTAGGATATAGTATAGTAGGAATAACGGAGACCTGGCTAGACAACACACACGATTGGGCCACCAATATAGAGGGGTACAACCTGTTCAGGAGGGACAGAGGGGGGGAAAGGGGGGGGGAGTATGCATTTATGTTAAAAATAATCTAAATACGCATATAAGGGATGATATCACGTCAAACAGTAGGGAAGACGTGGAATCCTTATGGCTAGAACTGGATACCAGGGACGATAGTCGTAAACTTATTGTGGGTATTTGTTACAAACCTCCTAGTATTGGGGAGGAGGGGGAGGCCCATCTTCAGTCCGAAATTGCAATTGCGGGGAGGGAGGGCAATGTAGTCGTGATGGGCGACTTCAATTACCCGGATATAAATTGGGCTAATGGAACCTCAAGTTCAACCAAGGAGGGTAGATTTTTGAACATGCTGAGAGACAACTTTATGGACCAGATGGTGGAGGTCCCAACTAGAAAAAATGCCATCCTAGATTTAATAATTACTAATAATGCGGAGTTAATTGAGGATATTGTTGTGGGGGAGACTCTGGGCAATAGTGACCACAACGCGATCACTTTCAGTATTGATCATAGGAAAAGCAAGAGGGCTGGTAGGACAAAAACCCTCAACTTCAGAAGGGCCAACTTTGATAGACTGCGCCACCAAGTGGGGGACATCAAATGGGAAAATTTATTTCAAAATCTAAGCACGGACCAAAAGTGGGAATGTTTTAAAAACACGTTACATATTGCAATTGCCAAATGTATACCATTGGGTAATAAAAGTAAAAGATCAAAAACAAAACCTGTATGGCTGAATAAAACTGTAAAGCATCACATAAAGGAAAAGCGAATGGCTTTCATAAAATATAAGATAGAGGGGACGTCATTGGCGTTCCACAACTATAAAGAAAGCAATAAAAGATGCAAACTAGAAATACGGACGGCTAAAATAGAGTGCGAAAGACATATTGCCATAGAATGTAAAAAAAAACCCAAAAAGTTTTTCCAATATATAAACAGTAAAAAGGTGAGAAAGGAGCAGATAGGCCCAATTAAGGACGATAGAGGGAATTTAGTCACAAATGACAAGGAGAGGGCCGAAGTACTAAACTCTTTCTTCTCCTCAGTATACACTCAGGAGGGAAACGGATTTGACGCCCCTGATAAAATACCTAGTTCATCACAAAACACAGCAATGTGGTTGACAGAACCCGGGATACAACAAAGACTTAGTCTACTTAATGCAAATAAAGCATTGGGACCGGATAATCTACACCCCAAGATACTTAAGGAACTAAGCGAGGTTATAACAAGACCGTTATTCCTCATTTTTAAGGACTCTCTAATGACTGGTAGAGTTCCATGTGACTGGCGGAGGGCTACGGTAATTCCAATTTTCAAAAAGGGGGCAAAATGCAAACCTGGGAATTATAGGCCAGTTAGTCTTACATCTGTAGTGTGCAAACTGCTAGAGGGAATGATTAAGGACTATTTAGTAGAATTTGTTCAGGCTAATGGGATAGTTAGTGATAATCAGCATGGGTTTAGGAAAGACCGTTCCTGTCAGACTAACCTGCTAACTTTTTACGAGGGGGTAAGTAGAGATCTGGATGGAGGGAGGTCTGTGGATGTGGTATATTTGGATTTCGCTAAGGCTTTTGATACGGTACCTCATAAACGCTTACTTCACAAGCTAAGAGCTATGGGCATAGATGGAAGGGTGTGTACATGGATAGAGAACTGGCTAAAGGAACGGGTACAGAGAGTATCAATAAATGGCGCCCTTTCAGACTGGGCTAGTGTTATTAGCGGTGTGCCTCAGGGTTCTGTGCTGGGACCGATGCTTTTCAACCTGTTTATCAACGACATCGGGGACGGAGTAAACAGCGATATCTCAGTGTTTGCTGATGATACCAAAATTGGGAGGGTAATAGAAACAAACCAAGATAGTATAACTTTACAAGAGGATCTGGATAAAATAGGGGAGTGGGCAACTTTATGGCAGATGCAGTTTAATGTTGATAAATGCAAAGTTATGCACTTCGGGACAAAAAACACGCAAATGGGTTACACAATAATGGGTATGCCGCTAGGGAAGTCTGAAATGGAGAAAGATTTGGGGGTCACTGTAGACCATAAACTCAATAATAGATTACAATGCCAGGTTGCGGTAAGCAAAGCTAGTAGAGTTCTGTCCTGCATCAAGAAGGGAATGTCTTGCAGGGATAAGTCTATAATATTGCCACTCTACACATCACTGGTTCGGCCTCACCTGGAGTATGCGGTGCAGTTTTGGGCACCGGTACACAGAGGGGATGTCCTTGAACTGGAGAAAGTCCAGCGAAGGGCGACCAAACTCATCAAAGGGATGGAGGACCAGAGCTATGAGACACGGTTACTAAATTTAAATATGTTCACGCTGGAACTAAGGAGATTAAGGGGGGACATGATTTTCACATACAAAATGTTCCATAGTCATAGCAACATTAGCAATAAACTCTTCACGATAATTTACGTAACAAAGACTAGAGGACACCACCTAAAACTGGTAGAAAAAAAATTCAAACACAAGGGGCGTAGGGGATTCTTCTCAGTTCGCGCGGTTAGGGTCTGGAACTCACTGCCGCAAGCAGTGATTTCAGCTAATAGTCTGGAATCATTCAAGAGGCTTTTGGACGATTTCCTGAGAAACGGTAATATACAGGGGTACAAGTACTCCTAAAAACGAGATGACGCGAGGATCTTTACACCCACACACACACACAATGGGTTGGACTTGATGGACTTATGTCTTTATTCAACCTCAAATACTATGTAACTATGTAACTATGTAGATTGTACAATCAGATTCTTTTTTCATTAGGCTGACCTAAGGAAAGAATATTAGCTCCAGCAGATCAGGAAAGAAATCGTGTCATTGTATTCAGAAAGGCTATGTTAATATGGACTTTACCTTCAAGTTTGACTTCCAGCCTGAGTTTTCAGAGCTGCTATTTAGGGAACTGTGATCCAAGAACGGGAGCAATAAAGAGCTTACAGCACCCTTATTGCAAAGGTACCGTTAGATAGGATAGCAAGAGGAAGGCCATGGTTCACATAAAGCGGAAATACAATCTTCTATCACATACAACCAAGGAAGGTGCTATCTTAGCATCTATTTGGATTACAGTTGTCATAGTGCTGTACATGTGATCAGCTATGACACCAGCCATGTGAGGGCTTGAAAGTTTGGTTAAGAGATGAAATAACCACAACGGTATCCATGACAGCACGCCCTAAAGTTAACGGTTTTGGGACATTAAAATAGTGGTTAAAGTTCCTCTTTAAATATGTTATGTATTACAAACAGACACTGAAAAATCCCTCTTGACTATGTACACACATTTGCACTTCACTTGTCGGTTAAAACCTAATGGGTATGTCTAGTCATGTGTGCATGTCAAGAGGGGGCAAGTTTCAACCTCCTATATAATTACAATGCTAGGAGCTAGATACATCACGCAGTCTCCTCACAAAGATAGATGAACTGGGTTGATGTTCTGTATTCCTGTTTATAACTTATTGCTTACCTTCTGACCCTTTGAATGGCTATAGAAATCATCAGGCCACACATAGGTCCCAAACATAACATCATCATTCATATATATGAATTTCTGAGAAAGTCCAGGAATCCGATGAATGTGGCTTTCAATAGCAGGAGAGCTAAAGGTTGGTAAATGGCTAGTGTTCAAAAAGATTTCCTAGTGAGGAAAACAAAGAAGACACATCAAGGATATTCTAAATGCCTTAGCTAGGAGTCTGGTCATACTGGCTCAAGGAGTGCTAACATGGTAATCATTGATGTAAAGAACTACAATACTTTGTTACCCTTAAGAGATGCTCCAAATCTCCAAAGCTAAAAGCACAGGCATTACTACATGAGAGATAAGTCTCTCAACAAGGTGGCAGGGCTACTGATAGCTGATAATTGTTTTCAGACAAATGAGATCATTTGTCTGTGCTTGTACAGTACTTGATGGAGACCTGTGAGAGATTCCAGACTAGAGTACATAGGACACCGCAAAGTCTCCCATGTGTCTCTGGTCAGAAAGGGACTAGGTGGAAAATAGAGATACACTAGTCATTACCAGTGCCATTGTAAATGGTACAAGATCATAAGCGGAAGAAAGTTTAAAGAACGATTACAGTCTGAAATTACTTTTGACAGTTTCTAATGGAGGTTTTTTTTTTATAGCAGTGGAACAAATATAAATACAACAAAACTGGCTTAGTTTCTGAAGTGGGGAGAGCTTAAAGTGACATTAAACTCAGGAGGTAAAGCTTAAAAATGCATTCAAGTACAATTAAATCATCTCTGAATTGTGCCGCCACTGTCCTTCCTTCTGGAGATTTAACTCCCGAGTTAAAAGGGGTTGTAAACCCTCCTGTTTTTTTGCCTATATCTACTGCAATCAAGCAGTAGATATAGGGAAACAGTTTAAAAAAAAAAAAAAACGCTAAAACAGCAGTTTAAACTTACCTTTTTTTCTTTGCACGCTCCCGCGCCGAGAATCAGGAACTGCTCGTACGGATCTTGGAGCGGGCGCATGCGCAGTTCCGATTCTCGGCCGGGAGACGAGCAGAGACGCAAGGTAAGTCTATGGACGCGTGCACCTGTATGCAGACACCGCTGTATCGGAAGTGCCTGCAAGCAGAGAGGTGTCGGCGCTGAATCGGAGAGCCGCCGCACCGCTGGAGGGACAGATGAAAATATCAGGAAAGAAGAAGATCGGAATAAAATACATAATTTAAGGTAAGTGCTGACATTAACATGGGGGGGGGGGATTGACTTTAATGTCATTTTAAAATATGTAAGTTAGTTATTGCATTGAGGCTATTTGGATTAGAGTCTGTGAGGTCTAGAGCAAATTACCATATAAGCAAGATTTTTTTAGTTCAAGTTAAAAAGTGAAGACATAGGTTAATCACTGTGGCCAAGAAAGGCACTTTACCTTTCAGAAAAAATAATAATTCCTCATTGTGTTAAAGTATCTCATATAAGCTTTAATATGTTAATGCAGTTTTGAACAGTGTTTTATTTTCAGTCTTTTTAAAGCTGAAGCTTTCATAAAAAGAATACTGTTCTTGTTCAGACACTTCCTGTTATAGGAAGACAACACTCACTTGTGCTCCTGTGTTGTCACCCTGTCACATGCACCCCTGGTTGAGACTACAAGCAGCCATGCTAACATACATTATGCACTCATGGTCTGCTGTTAATACAAATGGAATTAGTTTAATACACAGTCCATTAGCAAACTAAATGGCATCTAGTTAAAGTTTAGATCTACTTTAAAGAGAGGCAAAAGGTTGGGCATTGCATTAAAGCATGTGCAGGAGTTACATTAGTGGCCACCCAAGACAGAAGAAGCCTGGATCTGGAACAAGTGGAGGAGAAGATGGCAGCAGTGGGAGAAGGAATAGCGACAGGGATTGCAAAGCTGTCAGTGCTAGAGGGGTGCAACTCTGTGATGCAGTTTTGCTTCAACTCTACACATAGGTAGGCCAAGATAGGCTGAATTTAAGTTGAACTCCAGCCAAGCAATGTCTTTTTATAGTTACTTTCTGTCCTGATAGTAATACAGGAAGTGTCGGAAATTATCCCCAACTGGGGGGAAAAAACATTTTGGCTGAAGTTCTACTAAGAATACATACTTGGAATGAGTACAGCTGATTTCCTTCCTAGGGACAGTTCATTTTTGCCTTTGCTCCATTCAATTAGTAAGCAAAGAACAATTGAGTGGGCTTTGATAAATAACATGGCGCAAAGATAAAAGTAGTACCAAATCCCTAAAAGCCATACGTTGTCTTTCCTTATATTGGCCATGATGCACTGTCAAATGCCAATTTCCAATAGGTAAGACTTATTTACACACAGCTGCCCTTTGCATTGTTTTAAACAAGCCCAAATATATGTACCCAAACTCGAATATATAACTAATGTATACATAAACCAATCTTCCTTAGTTGAGTATAAAGAATTGTGCGCAAAGCGCATCAGCACATAAGCCGGTCCTCCTAGTGAGCAATATTTAGATAAAGGAAAATCCAGCCCCAGCATGGGAGAATTGTTCAGATTCACAGTGCATGTATTCTTCTATTGGGTAATCCACAAACAAAATCTGCCAGGCCATACAGTTTTGTTTTATTTAGATTTGTCCCACTGCTATAAAAAAGGCCACGTTTTAAAATATGTGGCTTAGTGATCAACGAACATGTCAATCTTTTCACTTTACATAGGTCAAAACGATAAACAAGCTATCACACTATAAAGGTCACAAACAAGAGTATACGGGTCACTATGAAATTATTCTGTCACTTCAATACCTCCTTTTAAAACTAGATACACTAAACTGACACCTCAGCTAAAGTATAATATAAAGCACATTACAATAAAACAGTCGGTAAGCAAAAAACCCAACATGTTTAGCTGAGAAATTAAGAGCATGAAACACATTTCATTTAAGTAATTATATATATAAAAAAAAAGTCCTACTTGGTGTGTTACAATGGTGACTCGTGGATTATCCAGATTCAGCCACGATGGTATCTGACCATTAGTTACGATGAAAACATGACGCACCCAAGGAGCATGTTTCTCTATAGATCTCAGTGAGTAGCGAAGCTCTTCATTGTCCTCAAAACGACTGGCTGAAATGTCTTCATCCTGCTTTAGCTTCAATAAGAAAGTAAAATGAAACCACTATAAAACAATATGTACATCCAGTTACCTTCTATATGTACCAAGTAAACTTGTGTTGCCCTCAAGCAACATGCACTAATGTTATCACTGGACAGTAGACATTGTAAGGTGCCACATAATACTTGTACTGTCACAGACCACCTAAGAGCACTATTCATGCCCCCTAGAAAAAAAAATGTCCAGCAACATTTGTTGTATATGCAATATACATAATCTGTAATAAATGTATGAGTGGAGATGATCATTATGCAATTATAATGAGCAAAGCAATACTGTGTAGCATAAGGGGTAAATGCCACTGCAGAACTTGGTATAGAACTGAGCAAGGCACATTTATAAATTAAATGAAAGAAGTAGAGTGTCTGTGTTCCAATGCAACCCCGTATGCATCCATCTCTCATATTCAACTGTAAGCTCTGGAATCTGTTGGGCACTACATTATTCTTCTCATGTACATACCACTCTGCATTTCCTAGTAGGTCAGAAAACTGTTTTTTAATAAAATGCTTACATTCTATAACTGTTTGGCAGCTATTGAGAAATGGACCTTAAAGAACAAACCGGCTTTCATCATAAGCAAAGCAGCAATGATTAATCTTGTTTATATTTTAACATGCTGCTGTCACATTCTAATGGCAAGGACTGCACAAGCTTAAATACATTGTGCTGCTAAAAGCCAGTTGGCTAAAAGAGAATTACTGGCGGAAGAGAGTCACAGCAAATATGTCAGTGATATGAGAGTATTCCATCCTCATGGGAAGGATGGGAAAATGGGCTGGCTACCAAAGCACTGCATCTATGATACCAAATAAGGAGGTAAACAATCTTCCCAAGATAAATATATCCAGATTATGGACTGGTGTGGGGTAAAGTGACATGCTTAGTAAATATAAACAAGACCTACATGATTGTTTCATGACAAAGGTATTTGCCTTTGACATTATTTAACAAGCCACACTGGAATGTGTTATTTGCATCAGTAACAGGATATAAAAGAACACCTTTTCCCTGCCATTATTAAGGAATCTTCATTCCTGGGATATTCATCTACTCACACTTTACCCGTGACAGTGAGAAGTTCTTTTAAAGTTATTAACCAATGAAGACTACCCAACTCTATTTCAAAGCTGCCCAGCTCTATTCATATCCCTTGGCATGGGCCTTAAAGTGGACCTATACGCAAATGTTAACTAAAAGCTATGTTAAAACTTACTGAGATGGATAAATAGAGTAATAGAAGGGTTCAACTTCTTCTTTCATAAAGAAAAAGCTTCTTTAGACTCTTTCCAGTGTTACATAGTTACACAGTATTTTATGTTGAATAAAGACATATGTCCATCAAGTACAACCTATTGTGTGTATGTGTATGGTCCTACTGATGTGTGCGTATGTATTCTCGTTCTTAAAAGTACTTGTACCCCTGTATATTACGGTCTCTGAGGAAATCGTCCAATCGCCTCTTGAATGATTCCGCACTCTCAGCCGAAATCACAGCATGTGGCAGCGAGTTCCAGACCCTGACTGATTTAACTGAGAAGAAACACCTTCGCCCCCTTGTGCAGAAATTTTTTCTCCACCAATTTTAGGTGGTGGCCTCTAGTCCTTGTCATGGAGTTAATTGTAAAGAGTTTGCTGCTAATGTTCCTATCCCCAGTAAACATTTTATACATGAAAATCATGTCCCCCCTTAATCTCCTTACTTTCAAGGAGAATATGTTTAAATTTAGTAGCCTGCTCTCATAGCTCAGGTCCTCCATCCCCTTTACGAGTTTGGTCGCCCTCCTCTGGACTTTTTCCAGTTCAAGGACATCCTTTCTGTTCACTGGTGCCCAAAACTGGACCGCATACTCCAGATGAGGCCGAACCAGTGATCTATAAAGTGGCACGATTATAGACTTGTCCCTGTTAAACATTCCCCTATTAATACAGGACAGGACCCTACTTGCTTTGTTTACCGCAGCCTGACACTGCGAGCTGTTATTCATCCTCTGGTCTACAATGACCCTCAAATCTATTTCCCTTTTGGACGGTGTTAGTTACTAGTTACAAAGTCTCAGTCTTGGATGCATGTTGTGTGCTGAAGGCACAAATCAACCACTAAACCTAGATCATGTAGTCAAATGCCTAAGCCTAATAAATAAAAAAAGCAAACAGGACTGATCTGATAAAATATATGTAAAAAAATGCTGCTTCCAGTATTACCATGTTGCTCACATCCTATCACACATCCAGAATTGAACTGAACATGTGAAGAGTCAAAAGAATCTGGGGACCTATGAGAACACATTTTGCGACCTTTAAAAAAGTAATTAAAAGTGAAACAAGCCCATGAAATGCAAATGCTATCAAGCAAACCATGAAATGCAATTGGTATCAAGCAAACATTGCAGCTGGGTCATAGTCAAAACAATGAAATGTAAAAAAAAACTCTATAGTTCACTGCAGCCACAGCTTAGACAGCTCTTCATATGTTCAACTATCTGTCACTGCTTGCTGCATCAGCGATCAGGTTCAAACTTCTAAGGACATTAAAATCTGGTTGATGGCTGTGAAACTTGTTAGTACTGACACTTTGTGACATCAAGGAGTGTACTGTGGGTGCATTTAGTAATACCATTCTTTTGTCGCACACAGGAACCAAAAAAGGGTGACAAAAATGTTGGAGGATGTGTGGGGTAGACTAGTGCAATACAACAATATCTAGGTGAGAACTGAAGCGCTCAGCAGATTTGTGCTCCTTGTGTTCATTTCTAGGCTTCATTTTTAATTTTAACTGGAGTGTACCTTTAAGAGAGGACCTGCGTGACTTGTTTTTGTTGAAAGAATGTGGCTTGTATTGTCCACTACAATACAAATAGTGATCTTTTCCTGTGGATGGTTTAAGTACCAAACAAAAAGGTTAAATAAAACAAAAGTTGTACAAAGCAAGAATCAGGAAGCACTTGAACATATAAAGCGCTCTCTGATCTGTCTGTCTGCAGTGAATTATAAGAGATATCAAATTAAGGTTTACTAAATGGTCATTCTGACTTTAGTCCAGCTGCAATGTTTGCTTGATAACATTTGCAACGTACCGACCGATACAACTGGCACAGTAAAGTAAAAATTAAAAAAAAAACTAAAAATCGTGCATTAAGACGGGACTTGACTTTTGTCAGGCTGTTTTTTCCCCGTAATGAATACATTGGTATTGGATGCATTTTGAGTATAAAGATCTGCTTGTTATAGGCTTAACTGTCATAAGATCTAGTTTACGGTTATTCTTCATATAGCACTGTTTGTGTGATTTTCTGTGGCCCTTAAAGAGGAATTGTGACATGAAAAGCAGGAGATAAGAGATCCACTAAAGCACGCCGTTGGACAGTAGCAATATCTTTTTTTCTCCTATTTGTACCTGACTATTAGAAGTATAGGGACACATTTTTTTCTTGGGAAAAGCTGACTTCTACAATCCTATTGGTGTATATTATATTACCAGTTTAGATAGAAAGCCTCACTTCAGGCTGGTGTAAAATATTACTATGTTTTGTCTATGAGATCATTAAGGTGAAATACTTATTCCTCTCCCCACAAAGCTTTGTCTATGCTGTCCAACCAGTCCCCTATAGCCATTTGCCTTTGCTGCTCAACCAGCTGCAGGCTCTACGTCATCATCGCCATTTCTGCTTGGTATGCAAGCATGGTGAGGGCTTACCCATGTCCCTGGAGTGGTAGCGAGGGGAGAAGAGTGACGGCTGCATGGGGAGGGAGGAACTGGGTCAGAAAGTTATCTTCATGTGGGAGCTCCACTGTATGGGTATATTTTCAATTAAAATCTTAACTCCAAACAGTTAAAACAGTTAAATACAAAGTTGAAACATATATAAGAGCTGTTTCGCCTGCCAAACTAAAGGATTTGTGTTGTGCCAGTCCTAGGATTTGCACAGCTACTCCCCACAGCACGGCCTTGTCTAGCAGGGAAGAACTAATCTCTTCACTATGTTGACTTTTACATCTTCTCCCCACCACCACCCTGTGACTGGACAGAGAAAGGAGCACACTGATAAGCTCATCTCTCTGCTCACTCCTTCTTTTCACATGCTCTTTGCATTGCGGCACACCTTTTTTCCTATTTCCGGAGCTCTGCTCTTGAGACTGTACAATAGAATGCAAGATTCTGACACCAAATCATATTTAGGTACTTATACCTCTTGCATTTCAAAAAATCTATTTAATAATGTGTTGTTGGTTACAGAGCAGCATTAATTTGTACCTTTTACATTTGCCTAGAGTTCAGCTATAGCAAGACAAAAAGACAATCACTGCATGATATATATGAAGCAGCAGGACTGACCAATACCAAGAAAAGGAAATAAGGGGCTAAAATGTCATAGTTGGTACATTAAATATGGAAATGCGTTATGCTTGATGGTGCAGTGTTTGTATAACTAATGTGGACATGTAATGTGTAGCAAAGGCTAAATCAATTGCCACTCTGCACTTGCCATATTTAAAGTTTGCAGTCATATATGTTGTAATAACGTGTGATGCTTCTCGACACCACAGGAGAATGTCGCTGCCATACATAAACAAGTGTTGATTGCTTCTTTGACCCCGTTAAGGAATATTTTGGTTCTGGCTTTGCAAAGTGCACTGTTCAGTCCATTTACCTACTCCAGCTGGATGACTTCTTAGAAGGCTTGCCAGGCATGAAAATAAATATGTGACTTATGTGCCCTTTAATTATGTCCAAGGTAGCGGTCAATTAGCAAGTCTTTCTTCTTAGATTTAGACATCCGTACAGCTATGTAGCATGCTTGATGATCTGAGGCGGAAAACAGTCGCATATTCACATACCTGACTGACAGCACTGAGATCCCATAACAAGTAAGCTGGATTCAGTGTCACCTCTTTTCCTTCTATAGTCATGTTTTTCTTCGCTTGTATGTTTAATTCATGAAAGCCTTTGGGATTGTTCAGTTGAAAAAGTGCTACACTTGCTTCAGAGTAGAGCTGCACCTACACAGAATAAAACAAGTAGGACAATTAGTTTGCTAATGATCTCTGTATTTTTACTGGTCTATCATCTGTAAAATAAACTTTATTTAATGAAAAACATGACACCACTCCACATGTTGTATTTAGAAGGTCAGTACACCCAAAATTGATCTTTAATTGAGAAGTGCATGCTGACAGCCATTTCCTGTCTCTTGAAAACTTCTGGTTGAGATTTCTTCACCATAGCACACACCTCCCTGAAATCCCACTTCTTCATCTGCAGCAGGCCAATGCCAGATAATTCACTCTAAAAGTCACAGCTGGGAAGTATACCTGAAAACTGCAGATATCTAGCTGTCATTGTCTTTGCAAGACACAAGAAAATGGTTATCAACTTAAAGCAGATCTAAAAACTCTGCCTGGAATGTGACCTTTTGGCACTGAGCTCTGCTTTTGGTACTTTCCAGACCTTTTTGTAGTTAGTTAACTACAGAGCCATTTCCCAGTCCAGAGCTATAGCACAGCCTTTGGTGTGATCCAACCTCTGAAGACTCATTTATAATTTGACTATGTGGGCTAGGTATCAGGGGCTACTAAGATCCTTAAAGGAGAATTATGAGGCGAGTGATTTTCACTCAGCCTCATAATCTGAGCCGACCTGTGACAATGAAACCGTCACAGGCTGGCTCAGAGATCGGGAAGTGAGCGAACACATACCATCGCTCGCTCACTTATCGATCTATCCCTGCAGAGAGCCGTGACTGTCACTCACAGCTCCCTGCAGGGATTTCCCCCCCCTCTCCCCTGTCCGATCCTCCAGGCTGACTGGCGTCACTCACACAGCTGGGTGGATCCAGACAGAATTGTTGGGATCCGTTCCGGCTGCGGCATCTCAGTATACTGCGAGCTGTAGCTCACGGTATACTGAGCCTTGGGTGACGGGAGGACGCTAGTTTGTGAAACAGGATTTATGTACGCACTGTCAAATCCTGGCACTGCTTTGCTACAAAACTGAGGTAATCTGGAAGGAGAAAAGGTTATATCAGGCTGATCACTGTTTGTTTGCCAGTGTCCACATTCTCCCGTAGGCAGCAGCAAAAAAGGATTTTACAGTGAGTACAAAACAAGGAACAAAAGAAAGCGCCTCCGTAGTGTAAAAAGAGTGATTTAATAATAAAAACACGCAGCTCTAAGGCTGTACTTACAACAATTCAGTTGAATAAAAACCAGTAGAGTAAGATGAGAAGTCAGAACCTCTAGCAGGGAGAGTCTGGAGTGATGAAATTCATAGGTTCTGATGACGGGGGCGTGCCCCAGAAACGCGTAAACCTTTTGCTAAGACAGGGATAGAGGACGCTGGTGAATTTCATCACTCCAGACTCTCCCTGCTAGAGGTTCTGACTTCTCATCTTACTCTACTGGTTTTTATTCAACTGAATTGTTGTAAGTACAGCCTTAGAGCTGCGTGTTTTTATTATTAAATCACTCTTTTACACTATGGACGCGCTTTCTTTTGTTCCTTGTTTCTTAGACTGGTGGTCAATCTGACCTGTGGGAGCTGCCTCTCTCGTGTTTGTTGCATCTAATTGCTGGGCACCCTGTAATTGAAGGCGCCGCTATTTTTCGTCATTCAGCGAGTACAAAAACCTTGGTATTTTCATATTTTTTCAGCTCAGTGTTCCTGATCACCTCCACCCACTTTCATTCACTTCCTTTCTACATGCACTCTCTCCAGCGTCAGCTGAACATCATTGTACAAAGCCAGATTTCTGATGGTGACAATGGTGGACTGTGCCTGCACAATGTGTGTAGGTATGGCAGCTCGCAGTCTTCATCATGGTAGCATGTGACAATGCTGTAGCACAATTAGGAGAGAGCTGTAACCCCATTTGAGGAAGTGCCTGAATAAAGAACTTCATCATAGGGCCACTAGGTTTATTTTTAATGAAAGCTGTAACTTTTTAAAATATTTAAAATAATTTTTTAATTACATCACTACCTTAAAGCGGACTATGAGATTTTTGTGATTGGACTTAGATCTATTTAAACTGACTTGTATCTGCCAGATTAAAAACAAATTTCAGTGGAATGATCCAAAAGCTCTGTTAAAAAACTGAAGATCAATTCTCTCATCTATCAGCAGACAAGCACTAAAGGTAATTACTGCTATGGCTGGAATGCACACTTAAAAAAATAAACTTTAGTTGTCTGCAATTAAGTTGGGATAATGCATGGAGATCTCAGCCTAGTATGGCTTAAACTTGACATACTAGACTCATTGCTGTGTACTCCATTATTAGACAAACCATATACAGATCATACAGAAATGGACATGCATGCACAATTAGGCTTTTGCCTACCCTGCTGAAAAACCAAAAAGGATACAAAGCGATAACTGCAAGGATATTGAAAGTGATGCTCGCAATGGTCACATCACTCGTACAAAGGAAAATGTGGGGAATTTATTAAATGAATATACGGCAAGTGAGGGAGAATCTTCCCAATGGGGGGGGGGGGGGCGCAAAAAC